GTACAGCCTTCAACAATGAGCAACTACTAATATGATAAAGCAAGCTATAAAAGGCCACGACATGACAAATGTTAAATAATTTCAATGAGTAAACTGCCTGATTTATGTACAAAACAATAAATGAAAACAAATATGATATACAGCAACAAACGACAACCACTGAATAACAGGCTCCTGACTTGGGACAGTCGCAAACAGAATGTGGCGGGGTTTAACATGTTTGCTGGCGCCCAGCCCTCCCCATACCTGGGACAATGGTGTAATAGCACAACATAAGAACAAACTATAAAAATAATTGAAAAGGGCTTAACTCATCAGATCTATCAAAAGCACAAAAACAACTAACAGAAACTCTAAAGACACAAAGTGCAGATCTGAGAGTACTTGCAGTTACTGAAAGCTAGTTCAAAGCCAATAATAGCTAATAAAAAATCATGTATCTAAGACTTAAATATCAATCAGTGCACATCCAACATGCAATAGATTTAGTGACAGGGCTCATACATTATGTGGTGGGGTTAAAAATGTTTGGTGGTTGGGTTTAAGATGCTTGCAGGCACCCAACCTTCCCTTACCTGGGACAGTGGTGTAACAGCACAACATAAGAACTAACTACAAAAATCAGTTGAAAAATGGCTTAACGCATCAGATCAATACAAAGCACAAAAACAACTAATAAAAACTATAAAGACACAAAGCACAGATCTGAGAGTATTTGCAGTTACTGAAAGCTAGTTCGAAGCTATTAAGAACTAATAAAAAAAATCATGTATTTGAAAAAAAAAATATCAATCAGTACACATCCAACATCCAATGGATTTAGTGTAAAGACTTCATTAACAGTCAGAGAAAAACATCATCTAGAGCAATGCCAAAATATAGGTATCGATAATGTAGGACTGTGAATGTTCATAGGTATATAGAAATAATATTTAGTTGGGTTTTAATTTATTGATAACAAAATCAATATTTATACTGATGAAAACAATACTCCAAAGATCTAGTTACAGTGTTAAATTGGATACTTTTTAAACTAAGTTAAAGATTATTACTTTCTCTGTAATACAAGTTTTGCAAAACACAGACTTCATATGGGAAAAAAACATGTCTAGTTATTAATTGGCAATTTGCTAATTATATCTTATCAATAAGTTAAGCTGGATGAATTACTCTATGAACTTGGAATTTTCCTAATTATGTTTTTCTAGTTTCTTTTAGGTCCTTTATTAAGCCTTCATGAGACACCTAATAAAATAATTACAAAAATGTATTTGTTATGAGTTTACTAGTACTTAATACCAATTATAGTTATGAGTTTATTTGTACTTAAATCTTTATCGCTTACAATAGACTCTAAGTAAATAAAAGAAGTGTCAGCTGTACAAGTATGGCTTGAAATGTGTCAACTGCTGATTGCCTTCACAAGACAAGTTTTTCACTGATACAAATGGAAAAGAAGCTTTTAAGGGGATTGTCAGCTGTCTACAAATACAAAAGCTCTAATACAGTTAATTTAACAATATTCATTATGGTTTGTAAAGGGGAAATTTGTAGTCATTGTCTAGTTTTGATCACCGATGTCACATCGATTGCTTCATGTTCAATGGCCCTTTGATGACAACAGCATTGGTATTGGAGGAATTATTGCCAGTGTAAACTCAGTTATCAGATCAATACCTACTTGAAAATAAGACAGGAAAGTAGATTTACTGTTGACTACAGAACATTCCCTATGGTCATATATTACAGTGTAATGATACGCAATGGCTCCTCGGATATATTCAGAATTTTTAGTGTAAAAGCATGAAAAATACAATTTCCATCTATGGTTTGTCGAAGGTGAAATCTGTCACTGTCGGCCTTGGTAATAGTGATTAAGTAGCTCATTCCTTGATTTAATTTCATTGTGACAAAAGTTCCGTTGGTTAAGTAGTAATTTGAAGGAAACCATTATTTCATGCCAGATAATGGATGAAACAACAAGTAGATAATGACTTTAGAGGAAAAGTTTAGATGACATATTGTTTATTACCTTTTTTTCACTTTAGAAGAAGTATTGAAAACAATTCGAATTACACTAACCAATTCCGTATGGTTTTAATACATTTGAAATTGTATAGACCGATTTAGGCTTTAATAGTAGTGATTTTTGCATGTACTATCCCCACAAAATGTGTGAATTTTGCAAAGCCTCTGGCTAGAAAACATGCAGGTAGACCTTTATGTTTTGTTGAAAATAGCACAATATGAACTATATTTTGGTAAAAAAAGAAATTAGTAACATAGATAATGTTTTCGTTTTAACGCCATACCTTTTTCACTTATTTATTGATATTCAGTACTGTGACTTCAGAAATTATTGGGAGATTTTATTATTGCAAATAATGCGATTGGGTGAGTATCGCAATAATTAGAACTCGCATTCTGAAATATGACAAATGAAGTTGTATGCAGTTTTTCTTATAATTGCAATAATTATTCATATATTTTTGTTGGTCATGTAGAAATCGTAATAATAAATGCATGCAATAATTTCTGAATTTACAGTGTCCAAAATATAAATTGTGCAGATTTAAAAAAAATTTAAACAACTGTAGTTTAATTGTAACCTGTATTCACTTTTTTAGCATGAAGAAGGATCAAGTGGGCAAAGGAGGAGGGGCATTAAAGTCCATATTAGGCCCTAGAAAACGGGAATTGTCTGATGATACTAAAGAAATGTCAAAAATCAAGAAATATTTCATCATCATATGAAATACATATTTCACTAAAAGGGAAGAGGGGGGAAATATGTGCAGCAAAATCACAAATTTTTAGTTAATCTTTCTAATAGCTATGTATATAATTCCAGCAAATATATTAAAAGTTGTAATTTTGATGTGCCCAAACTTTTTCAATTCAAGATATACTCAAAAAGTTTATGCTAAACAAGGAAAATAAATAAATTTTTCAATTAATACTAATTTCGTCATGCTTTGTTGCCAGGTAACTCATTAAATGTGAAATTTATTTTTATATCCTAAACACCTATCATTTTTGTGAGGGCAAATTTAATACCATGAATGGTAACATTAAAATTTGCTTTAAATTTTGGGCCAAATGTGGGCTTTATTGTTCCTACTCTCTTGGTCCTTGTTTGCCATGTTAATAGCATTACCCACACATCTAAAACAAATAAATTACATTTGTAAGAGGAAGATGTTTCTTTTCAAGAAAATCCTACAATTTGCTTCAAACTTCCATATTCAGTTTCTATTTCTTGGTAAATTTAGTATAAATTATTTTTTTTTTTTTTTTGTCTTTCATAATACTTTTGTTGCAAATATGTACAAATAGCAAATCAGTTACTGAAGAAATATCCACTGAATCAGGAGACCATGGAAGATCACCAACAAGGAAAACCCTGTATATTTCATGAAAAAAAAAAAGAGTTGACTATGCATTATGGATTTTACTCATTGTTTACATTTGTCATTTCGGGGCCTTTTATAGCTGACTATGCGGTATGGTTTTTGCTCATTGTTGAAGGCTGTATGGTGATCTATAGTTGGTTACTCTATGTCATTTTGTCTCTGGTGGAGAGATGGTCTCATTGGCAATCATGCCACATCTTTCTATTTTTATATTTGATGACTTTCTTGGGAAATATCTATATGTCAAAGTCTAGAAAAGACCTAATGCAGAGGTCGAGCAAAAAATTTCATAAGTAAATTAAGGTATATTTTCACCTACTGGTAAATAATATATAGGTGTTATTGAAAATATCTATCTAGTGGTGTTTTATTGTATAAAAAATCAATTTGTATCTTCTTTTACCATTTGCTATAACTCCATTAAATATCTGTTATACAATGTTGTAAATTTCAGTAAAATATTATATTTTACATCAGTTAGACACAAAAATAATTCTTATTCTAGTTTTTGTGACACAAGTTTCAGACAAAGATATAACACTGAACTATCTTTCAGTCTGAACCAATTTTGACCATGTTTGTCTGAATAATCAATTTAAAACAATAGGGGCCTCACTTCCATTCGGAAAATATAAAAATTTACATTCACACTACATCAAAATTATATTCAGTCTATTCTAACACCCAGAAAATCCATTGTTGTACAATCACATTTACATTTCTGCGAAAGGGATACAGATGTCTAATGTCAGTGTTGTCATAATCAGAATTTACTTATTACACTGTAATTTTGATGACTAATGAAAATGCTGTCATAATCAGATTTACTATTACACTGTAATTTTTTATGTAAGTAAGTAAATTTTATTTGAAGTCGGCATATATGTACACAATAACAGAGAAAACATGAGATCTGATGAACTATTTAACCAACTATCTCATTAAGTTAAAGGTTTAAGGAATAAAACCATTAATAGTGTTCTGAACTTTATCACCAAAGTGGAAACCTGAAAATACAAATTTTTCATGGTGACATTAAGGCTTAATACATTTGAAATGTACTTAAAATTACTTAGTTAATTGATCACATACTTAAAATCAGTTTTCAATTAACCTGTAAAAATATTCATTTAGATACTTATGGACAATAATATAGTATCCGTGCAGTTTTGTGGTATAAATATTTAGAGTTATAAATAAATGAACTTGAAAAGAGTAGATTAATTGGAAAAAAATATATTCACTGACAATACCATACCAAAAAATGAAAAAGACCAAAAGACAAACAATAGTACACAAAACATAACATAGAAAACTAAGGACAGAGCAACATGAACCCCACCAAAAAACTGGGGGTGATCTCAGGTGCGGGGAAGGGTAAGTAGATCCTGCTCCGTATGTGGCACCCGTCATGTTGCTCATGTAAGTTTTAAGTTGATTTCAGTTTGATCAAAATTATAAAGTTTTGAACATAGATGGGTACAAGTTGACAAATACTGATCTTAGACATATTTATTTGTTGGGCATAAGAACATAGTTTTGAGGGATAAGTGTTAACCTAACTGTACTAAGACTTTGTATTTTCAGAAAAGTTTAGATGGTCAAACAGCAGAGGAAAGACTAATGTTGATGCAACATCCAATCTTTAGGTAAGTATTAGCTGTTGTAAAACACCTTAGTTTTAATGCTTTGTGCAATGTATGTTTCTAAAACTTGATTATACATGCAGTGCCAGTAGTTTGTGGAATGAATAAATATTCCATAAAATATCACACCAAAGAGGATATACTTAAAACTACATTGGTATCAGATCTGTGGAAAATCAGAGATTCTACCTACGGTAGTTGGTCAGATCCCAAGTGCTGTCAAGTCTCACACAATTTGTGTGAGACTCCCGCATTTTCATGCTTTTTTGGCAGCATTTTCCTTTGATCTATTGTTTTTTTCTCTTTGATCTTTACATTTTTTGTAAACTCTCACCCATTTGCTTCATGAAGGCAGCCCTGGATCCCTTTATATTATTATATATAATGGTGATTGATGACCTCAGTTTATTGAATAGAAACTGCATTTCACAGTGTCAACACTTAAGATTTGTTCATTTTTCCATGAAAAATTAACTTGAAAAAATTTAAAGAAATAGATTTTGGTTGGTACCTGCCTATTAAAGTAACCTTATATCCATTGACTCATGTATTACTTAATATGTCCTCTATTCTAAATAAAACATCCACTTCTGAGTTTAATTATACTCCGTTGTCAGATAACATCTCTGCTAAATTGGGTTGTGAGTTCGATTGTGATATCTTGTAGGGATTTGCATCAACAGGACACAGTTAGATGAGGTGGCTGCTGATTACATTTTATCAACTGTTTATCACTAGCAAATGCTAAACAGTGACTAAAAGTTTTGAGCATTCCCTGTCCTATTATATATGTTAGCTCTAACTTACTGGTAATTGTAAAATGGAGGTAAAATGAAATTCAAAGTGCTGACTTTGTGTGCTATAATCAGATGTGTAGAAATATTGTCATAATCAATTTAGATCATCATTATTTTGACATAAGAAGGAATATACAATATTTTTGGAAATATCTTAAGAAATAATATGTAACAATTTAAAGATATAGCAGAAATGATTTCTTTCAAAACTACATAGTGGCCTCTCCAAACATCCCATGGATTCACAACTGCAAAATGTTTTAAAAAGGTTTAAGACCATTGATCACAAGAATATTCATCCATCAATAAAATTGGGCAGAGTCATCCGTAAAGAGTGAATGAAAGCCTACAAGAAAACATTTGCATAAGAGCAAACTCAGAAGTTCAAAGCCGTTTATCAGGAAATATTTGACTCAAGCTGTCTGAATTTACAAAATAATAATTTGATTTTTATTATTTTAATACTAAAAATTCATAATACATGTATGCAACACTTCTTTAGAATTTTCAGTTCAAACACTCTTATTAACAAACACTCTTATTAAACTGAAAACAATGAATTTGCACGATATTACATTATATGTGATCGATAGTTAGTATGATGAAGTTTTTGTCCTAAAACTCAATTTTTGTAGACTTAAACCCTAGTTTTATATACATGTATATACAATTACAATTGATGAATATTGCATCTTGGGACAATGATCATGTAACATCATCATCAATTACACATTATCACCTCAGCTAACTCTGTCAGGAGCTGATGCATATTGGTGCAGTGATAAATGTATATCTCTAATGAACTACAGGTTTAGAGTTATACTGATGGAGCATTTGTTTGATTACTATTCCATGTTTATTTCTCATCAAAGTCACTGTGTTTAAAGTACATTACACTTAATTTGTAATTGAAATAAGAAAACGTATCATCTTTTAAATGTTATATATGTGATCAAAGAATATGATTGATTTATATGTTTGACATGCGATTTAATCCAGGAGATTCTTTGAACTTGCATTTATTAATAAAAGAAAGATATCTAGTTATGAACTGTTCACTTTTTTCAGACTGAATAAAATATAAAAGTACATTCAAATATGAATTCAACATGAAAAAATGTGCTCAAGTTAAATAACATAATTTGGTTTAATTTTAATGAAATTGTCATTTATGAAAGCAAAAGGAAAAAGATGGATGTTCAATGTTCTTTGCAACATTTGCATGACTACAGACTAGTTCATGATTATGTTTTATTTTTGATAATATGCAGAATAAAGCTTGCACATCTAAGATTTTATGAATAAAATTTTGTTTAAACTGCCTTTACACAGTTGTCAAACATTTTACATAAAAGAGCAAGATAAATACTTTTAGTTTGCCACAAATCAATATTAAGTTGTCTCTCATTTTTGATTTATTTTATAATTACAGAATATTTTATGTATCTCACGACTCACAAGACCTGAAGATTTGGAGTTATATAGCTAGGGATGGACCTTCTAATGTGTTTAAATGCCATGTATTCAAAGCTTTCAAAAAGGTAAGAAACAGAGGCAGTAAGTTAAGATATGGAAGGTTAAGGGCATACAATACAGTTTTGATCCCACAGGGAATTTTTAACGAAAGTTTGCATACAAGCTATTTATCACCTAGCGAATTCAAATATGTAATAAAGAATATACCTTCATGTGCTACTTTTAGAGATAAATTGGGTTGAAGTTTTAGACATTTCCTGGAAATTTCAGTTTCTTGGACATTTCTATCCTTTGGAAAGACATACCTAACTATTTTGTTTCAAAAGATAAACTCAAGCAGATTTTAGTAAGAACATTTGGAATATCTTCTCTTCATAAGTGTGCTTTGAATTTGTGTAACAAGTCTTTGGAAATAGTTCATATTTATCACATTTTCATGACTCTAGTAAAAACACAGAATTTTTGGCTGTATTTTTATCTAATTTAAAAAAAAAACATCGAAAATTGGCACAAATAATCTTCATTGTCATTTGGTCTCTTGTGGAGAGTTGTCTCATTGGCAATCATACCACATCTTCTTATTTTTATATTCATACATAATCAAGCCAAATGTCATTTAAAAAAAAAAGGGGCCATGAACTCGTTTTCAAGTTAAATCAGTCGAAAAATACATCATTTCCCAATATGTCACAGTTTGATGTTGCTAAAAATAACATTTTACATTAGCAACGTCATTACCTCCCGTGTAACTGTATAGTATGCCCTTAAATGGAGAAGGAGCATATTAAACTAATGCCTCCATCCTCAAGTTTACCATTTACTAAAGACACCATTAGGGCCTACTTGTTTTCTTGTTAATTGTTGAAGCATAAAGCAGGTCATATATTTTCTTGTTTGAATTTTGTCACATTTTATCATTCTGAGGCCATATATAGCTTACTACACAGTATGGTTTTTGCTCATTATTTAAGACCTACGTGGCCTATAGTTGCTTACATCCACTTCCTTTTATCTCTGTTGAATAGTTGTCTCTTTGGCAATCAACCTCATGTTCTTATTTTAAAGCTGTTGCAGTTACAGAATAATGAACACACCCAACCTATGTCTGACATATTAAAAAAAAAATGAACCCACACAAAAGAACCTGATATATCTACAGTCTAAAGAGCACACACACATCCTATGTCTTATATATTTACAGAATAATGAACACACATACCCTAGGCCTGATACATTTACAGAAAAATTAGCACACACAAAAAGAACCTGATATATCTACAGTCTAATGAACACACACATCATATGCCTGATATATCCAATGAGCAATAAGCACACCAAACTTGGCCTTATATATCTAAAGAAAAATGAGCACACCAACCTGGTCCCAATATATCTACAGAATAATGGGAACACACCAACCTTGGTCTACTACATCTACAGTCTAATGAGCACACACGTCCTATGCCTGATGCATCTACAGAATAGTGTTCAAACACGCCCTAGGCCTGATATATTAAGAATAATGAGCACATACACCCCAAGCCTGATATATTAAAAATAATTAGCACACACACCCTAGGCCTGATGAAGTATAATGAGCACACACACCGTAGGCCTGATATATTAAAAATAATTAGCACACACACCTTAGGTCTGATGTATCTACAGAATAATGTGCAAACACACCCTAGGCCTGATATATTAAGTATAATGAGCACACACACCCTTAACCGGATGTATCTTCAGAATAATGTGCAAACACAATTTAGGTCTGATGTATTAAGAATAATGTGCAAACACACCCTAGGTCTGATATATTAAGTATAATGGGCACACTCCCTAGGCCTGATGCATTTACAGAATAATGTGCAAACACTCCCTTGGCCTGATATATATGAAATAATGAGCACTCACCTGATATATTAAGTGTAATAAGCACACACACCCTAGACCTAATGTATCTACAGAATAATAAACACACCCCTAGATCTGATATATTAAAAATTATGAGCACACACACCCTAGACCTGATGTATTAAGAATAATGAGCACACACACGCTAGGCCTGATATATTAAGTGTAATGAGAACACACACGCTAGGCCTGATATATTAAGTGTAATGAGAACACACACGCTAGGCCTGATATATTAAGTGTAATGAGAACACACACGCTAGGCCTGATATATTTTCATAATGTCTCATTTATCCCTTGTCTGAAGTGAAAATTGGGTCAACTTTTCCTATGATCTTGTACTTCTTGAAAATAAGTATTAATTGAAAGCTGTTTTCTAATTAGTATAAGTGGATTAGAATAGGATAATGATGAATAATTTGACATCATGACAAAATGGATGAATAAAACAATTAGACAGAGATTGAGTATTGGTAGGTTTTATGTCAGATTAGGTTAGACTGGTTAGGTAAACTTTAACATGAATCTTCATTATAATAGTGTGTACTTTAAAGATTATTATTGGTAATTACACATAACCGGTATATAAAAAAAAATTGAAAACTTTAAATGGCTGACATTTAAAAATGTACTTCACTACTTTCATAATTTACCTATAATTTTTATATATCACATTTTGAGATTTTTCATTGGTCCCAACACTCATTAGTGATTTTATGGATAATTATACACCTTCTTCAAAGGAAGTGGGTATACTGGCTTACGACTGTCTGTCCGTGTTTTGGTTAATCTTTCCCATGAAATTTTGGTTGCATTTTACTCTTTTTTTAAATTTGTTAAGGACATTAGCTTCATGTGAGCATGCTTTACTATGATGCATCTCAGATTCATCACTCATCAACCATCCTGTTTACCAAATACTTATATATCTTTTTTGCACAATGGCCATGTATGACATTTATATCACATTTTTCTCTGCATCCAAAATGACAGTTCTTCAACAAGTGGTGTTTTGGTGAAAGAACCTTGTAATTACCCACAAACCTTTATTAAAATCTTTAAGTTTAGACTACAAACTGTTTATTTAGTAATTTACACGTTATCTTTACATGTGAATTTCACAGCATCCCATAATGGAACTTCTTGATCATTCAATTTACAGAAAAGAAAGGAAAAACAGCAAAAAAAAAACAAAATATTTTAAAATTATTTTACAAGATTGCTTCCTTATTTACATCCATTCTATATCCATTTTTACAGTCATTCAAAAAAATCCAGGTAAAAACAAAAGTTAGTTAACCATGTTAACAGTACCAGTGTGTTGATCTTGTATGTTGAACACAATTAAATCAAATTGAATAGCTGTATTTATCAAGATTACAAATAGCATGCAAACTTATGATAGAACTTAATCATCTGTTTCAATAACAAATTAAAACAAATTGAAAATGGAGAATCAACTAGAAATTTGTATTTTCCATTATTTATTCTATTTAAACGATATAACTAACTTGTTTTGTTTATGTAAATTGGAGGTTGCTGTTCGCATTGTGTAATGAAGTGTACCACATTATTTGAAGTTATTGCATTTTGATTGGTATTATTCCCAACATATTGGCAAATTAACTCTGCTATTATTATTTGATTGTAAATTTTATCACCAAGACCAACTGAACATGTTCATAGTTTATTGCTGTTCAGATTAACAGTTTAAACAACTGACAGTCATTGCAATCAAAATAGTTGATCTCATGTTAACCAATGTAAACTTACCTGAATTGTTCAGAGTTATTTTGACTTCAATAGCCAGTAACTTCCGTATACTTCTTAAAGTGCTTCCTTTTCTTAACCTTTTTTTATTATTATTATTACCGTAATTGTGACGAATTTGTGGCATATAATTTTTAAAGAAAATAAAACAATGAACTGTCACATTGAAAGAATACAAAAAGTATTGTTCTCAGTTGAGATTATTCGCTTGGACCTTTAAATGTCTCCGAAAAGAATGACAATTACTTTGTGCATACCTATAATTGATTTAAAGCAAAAACCATATTGTTTTGTCATACTTCATTTTTGGGGGGATAATAATGCTCTTATTGCATCTCTTCCCTTTGTAGAGTTTCCACCAAAATGGTCTCCAAGTTGGACTTGCATGCAAAATGCTGCTGGTTTAGTCCAAGACAAGGTCAAACCAAAGTCAAACCAAAGTTTCTAAAATTTGATTTGTCAGTCAAATCAGGGTGTATATTTATAATACATTAACTTGTTCTCATCCTGAATAAAAATGAAATATTTGCTGCTGGACTATAAGCATCTATCCATCCTTCCTCTTGGTAAGGTCTGTTTTATTTCAAATTATCTTTAAGGGTAAATAAGTTAATTGGGCTTGTGTAATAAAAGAATAATACATTCTTCGGAGGCATATAATATAAGAACAAAAGAACTTTATATTATATGACATGTTCATTTTCAGTTTTTAAACAAAGTTAAGATCATGAAATGACATTTTAATTAAATTTTCTTATAACAACTTTAACAATTTACAAAAGCAGAGTAGGAAGTTATAAAACCCTGTCAATTCATTTGTCTATAATGTTCAAAATAGTCACTATATTGCAATAACAATTCTTTGAAATGAGATATTCAATAAAGAAAACTGAACTATATTGACACTGGTAGAACATGTCATACTGTATTTTAAATCAGTTTATTACAGAATATTTTTTAAATTAGTGATTTTGAATTCCGATATGTCAGTCTGTTTAGAAGTGCTGATGGGGTGTGTTGTCAGACAGTTCACTTAGAATGTTTTGCTTATACAAAGGGATAACAACAAAATTATTTCTTTACTGGATGCAATTGACAGCCAGGAATACTGTTTGAAAAAAAGATAAAAATTGCTAACCATTTGACAAATGCTGAAAAAGCATTGACTAATTTTAAAAATACTAAAAGCTCCTCTAGCCTATAGTGTCTCTATTAAACTTTTTCAAAATTCTTTGTAAACCAGTATTGGAACCAAGCTTGGCCTGCATTATAGTTATGTCCATTCATTTACTGTAAAGTAAACTAAATACACAGACTTATCAGAAGAACAAAATTACTGGACTTGACTATATAATTACCACTTGCATTTAATTATGAATTAAAACTTGATGATTTCTTTCTCAAACTAGAATTATATTTAAAGAGTCTTCCATTAATAATTGCCCACAAAATTTTAAGATATCTATTCTAGAAGACTTCTATACAACACTACAGTATTGATTTGTGTTAAAGAGCCTGTATGATATAAAAGTGTTAGAGAATTCTTTCTGTATATTGAAGAAACCACATAAACAAAATTGTCATGAGTAAATGCAATGTTTGTGATACAAAATGCAATACAATGTATTAACAATAAGTATATACCCCATATCCTTTCTTTTCAAATATATATGGTCAGATCATATGTTATGTACGTCATATGAATTCGTACTATGCATGCTTTTCCAATGGAAATTGTGACGTCACAATGCATTCTTAATAGCACGAAAACCCATGAAACGAGGATATATATATAATAGAAAGCTTTAATTTATCAAAGCTAAGAAAAAGTAAAGTTATTATATTCCAACTATTTCATATGAATAAAATGTACCATTTTTCATAATGTTTACTTTCCTGAATTGAATACTTATATTAGAGACATATATATATTTAGTATGTATGTCTCTGCTTATATCGAATTTCATTTAGTCCTGTCCAATTTCTTTATACAGCAAAAAGTTGCATTGTTTATGAGGACAATGATCATATATAGTGAGATAGTCCTTGAGAATTCTTGATTGGACAATCAACAGTTACAGCATTTCCAAGAGTTCAATTGGTGGTATTTTACCTAATGATTATGATCAATTTTCATTTTCATCAGCTAATTAACCTAAGGGAAAGATCAAAACTAGTAAGAAATTGATCAATTATGTCTGACTTTTCAATCAATTTAGAATGATTTGAAATGTAGATTACATTCTACTCTATAATTGACATTTTGCTTGATGGATCATTATTTTTCTTGTCTGCAATGAAATAACAGTTCCTGCATTTTACATAAGTGTAATGAATGATTATGTATTGCCTATTGTACAGTCTCTTTGCCCTTCATCCATGCATCTCTTGCTCTGAAATTATTCCGTGAATTTGTTATGCCCTGTCTATGATAGTAGAGGGGCATTATGTTTGCAGGTTGGTTTGTCGGTGTGTTAATCTTTCTGTCCAATTTCAGGTCAAAGTCTTTTTTTAAGGTAGTTTGTGGTCACATCAACTTGAAACTTAAATTTTTTTTATTATGAAGTGTTCTGTTTAATATTGATTCCAAATTAGGGTTTGACCAGATTTCGTTGTTAACTGGATATTGAAATGTATTAAAGTGGGGCATGGTGTCCTATAGACACATATTCTTGTTTGAAATTTATAAACCAGCTTTCTGTGAAAAAATTAAGAAAAAAAGGATAAAGATTTTAAATACAAACCAGTAATTATTAACAAACTTTTGATGAAAAAACAAATTTTATAAACAATAAATAAAACTTTAACTGATAATTTTTTTCCAACATTAAAGAATTTTTGATTATTGATGTAGGACAGTAAACATATGGAAATTCTATTCATCAATCATTATTATGAAAAAATATTTCTGATAATATAACTTTAATGAGAAGAGATTTATTTGCTATGATTTTGATGTGATGTATATCCTGTTTTGTCAGCTTTGATGAGTCTAGAACAAGTCTTATCCTACTGATAACTGCAGCAGATCTGTTGATGTTTAGACTGGATTTTCTTGAACATTCTCATTTGACAAACATATATGTAGGATTTATAAATATTAAAAAGCTGTAAGCCTTACTTTACTTAGAAATATTAATCTTGTGTGTTTACATTGGCAGTCATGCTAGAATTTTTTCAAGTCTAATAAGTGAATAACTTTGCCTTTGATTAACTGTTTTGTCTTGTTTTTTTAACATTTGCATGAGTTTTGAAGGATTATTGTGTGATCTATCCTATATTTTTCTAAGCGTTTTATGTAGTAATCTGAATACTTTGAGATGTTAAATATAGCATTCTGGAACATACATTCTGGAAAACAGAAAAACAAAAAAGAGGTTTAATAGATATGTCTGCAGAATGCATATTCCAGATTAACTAAAGAACTTGTTATTAAATTAAAATATTTTCAGAATCTGAATATGTTGTTCACCAAATCAGGAGTCGTTTTATTGAACTGGAGAACAAGCTTGAAACTTGAGGAAAAAGAAAATTGTTTCAATGAACTTGATGTAAGAATTAGAAAAGTTGACATCTCCGCTGCAATGGAAAGCTCAAATGCAACAGTGTTGAAATTTGGACAGTTTTTACCTCAGAATAGCTTTGTTTTACTTTTCAACTCATGTAAAGTTAGGGATATAGTTCCTCTGCATAAATTGGGGGACATACATAACTATAAGTGTGGTATTACAATAACAAGTGCAATAAGGAAATTATTTAACTTGAAAAGAACGAGATTTTTAACCCATGTGAAAAAAAAACAAGACATCTGATCATAATATATATATCCAAATGCATACTGGTAACTGATAAGTATTGTAAAAATATATTTAATGATGGACAGGCATTTGCTTGCTTTGTTGATTTTCAAAAAGCTTTCGATACTGTCATATACACAGGGATAAGAAGAAATCTTTTTAAAATTTGGGTTTAGTCATTATTTTATAGTATTATAAAACATATGTATGACCTCAGCAAATCTTGTATTAGATCCACCATATGAGGACAAACTGGTTAAATACACTCTTGGGGTTCAACAGGAGAATAATTTTAGTCCTCATTTGTTGAAAATATTCATAAATGACTTGCAATATTACCTCAATAAGTCACCAAACCCAATCTTTTTTAAATAAACACTCAGTTATTTGTCTCATGTATTCAGATGATGTGATTCTCCTGTCAATTACAACCTTAGGCCTGCAATATAGGCTTAATAACTATAAAATACTTATATTTTGGTATTGCACAAGGTCATGCTTTTCTTAGAATATTTATGACGTCTTTACACTAAATCCATTGGATATGTACTAATTGATATTTTAGCCTGGGAAAACACTGTTTATTTATAAATTGAAATTGGATTCGAACTAGCTTTCAATAATTGTGAGTACTCCTAGATTGGTATTTTTGTTTGTCTCTTCATTAGGGATTTTTGTGCTTTCTGTTGAACTGTTTAACCTTGCCACATTATTTTGCTGTCTGAAGTTAGGAGCATATAATTCAGCGGTTGTTGTCTGCCATATGTGTTTATTATTTTTAGCATAAATTAGAGAGAGAGAAAATGAATAGTATTTGATAGGGGTCAATATGTATCACATATTTATACCCTCAAGCCTGGTAGTTTCTTTCATCCAGTAAATTGGTTTATTATCTTGAACATACAATTAAATGAATGGACTTACAGTATTCCAGTCAGTACCGTATGTCTGAACACAGCATGAAAGTTCTGAATTTTAAGAACATTTATTGTACCAAACAGGGGAGAAGCCCATGCTCCTAGATATCACAAAGATGTACTTGCCATATCACAGTGTTATACTCTGGTGTTAAACAGATGTTTCATACCACAAACTAACCTGTACTTGCCACAGTGTTAAACAGATGTTTAATACCAATCATCTTGTCAAGATGAGTCTTTCTCTTCCAGATAATAATACACTTCCAAAACAAATTAGAAGCCAATACACAGAAAACTTAACATCTGTTTCTTCACTTTTATTATCTCGGCATCTACTTATACATTTGATTATCTTTATGATTTATATTGGAAAATGAGAAATCATTCTTTTTTTTTTTCAGTTTTTATATTATACAATATTTATCTCAAGGTTTTATTTTGATAATGGAAAGGTGAAAACTGTTAAAATTAATTTGATGTGATAAAAGAAGACTTACAAAAAGTTCTGTTAACAAATGTTTGAAAAATGGAATGTTGTCATGGATATCGAATACCAAAATCTTCTAAAAAGGTTAGTAAATCCCATATCTATTTGGCTTTTAGTCAGTAAAGTTTTCAACATTGCATTATTTGTACTATTTCTTTTGCATTCTATGTAGATAATCATAAAATCATAAAATGAAATAAAATTAGCATCATGAAAAAGATTAGGAAGAATATTAGAAATAAAGTTGATGTACTGGTACAGAAGACCAAAAAAACAAGTTTCATCTTTCTAAAGTTTAGGTTTACAAATTTTTTATGCTTTCACATTCTCATAATTTCTGGTCTTGTAAGCGCTCACACATGAACAATTCTTGCCAGTTTTTCATGAAATTTACAAAATAGGTTGAAATCAGCAATGTTTTGGCTGACTTCGAAAACTATTTTTTAAAGAGTTATATCACTTAAATATAAATTATATATGCATTGTAAGCACCCTCATACCTACATTTCTTGTCAAATTAAATTGAAATTAATATCAAAGGTTTATGTCAGTAAAGTCTTGGAAGAGTGCTTACCAACTATTTTTTGCAAGAGTTATGCCTCTTGGGGAAATAGAAATTGCATGGAAAATAACATTGTTAGTGACCTCATGTGTACATTTCTTGTAAGATATTTGTTTAAAAGTCTTAAGAGATCCCAAAATATATTTTTTGACCTTATTGTCCTTGTACATATCAAATATGTGCATATCAGTGACATTGGAACACTGTTCTTTTATTAATTTACTGGTGAGAAGGACACATTTGAAGACTGACTTTTGGCATTGGATTATACTACTTATGGTTTAGGAAGGTACACTCAAACCTATAGAGGTAAACTTGTGTATTCTAGAATAGTAAGCAAGTCATGATGTTTCACTATGGAATCAAGTGAAATGTTACATTAAATGATGTCACAATCAAGCAAAAGAGGATGGGATTGTGGCTACTACAAGTGGAACAAAACTGTGGTCTGTAGTATAAGATGACCATACAACCAAGCAATAATTTCATTTAAATTTTTACAGAGCCAAGCCATGCGAATTGTACGAACTATTGGACAAGCTTTTGAAGTATGCCATAAGATAAGTTTTCAGTCCGCCCAAGCTGATGATCAGCAGGCCAGTTTCCCTGATGGTTGTGACAATGAAAATAGTAAGTATAGTGGACTTGCAGTCAATACTTATCGACAATAATGAGAAGAACTTCTTGTAAAAAGTTGTGCTCATTTGTTAGTCAGTCAACATTTCCTTGCCTTTCTTTTTTCAATATTTACTGTAAAGATTTATTTTATTGTATTATTACATAGCAGCTTTTATGATTTTGAGATAATTCATTTTACCTGACAATGCGAAAGAAATGTCTTTTTCCCCTCAATTAGAGAAACAGTTTTGCTACATTAAATGTTTCGAGATTCAGAATTATGATTATTCAGCTTAGTTGATTATAAAAGTGGTAGGAACTAGGGTTCTCTGAAATATTAAGCAGTACATGCTTGACTAGTTGCACCTATCATGTTTCTCATGGCAAGTAAAAGTCAGGTAATAATAAGTGTATACGATGATGAAACAATAAAAGAAAACAGGATGGAGATATGATGCTACAACATGGACATCTGTGACACAAATATTCCATAATGGTCAACCAACTCATAATGGCATCCATACAACTTTCAAACAGGCATTCAGGGTCATGTCAGACATGTTGATCAAGCAATTACGGTTATGTTACCTATGTTGATCAGGCAAGCTGGATCATGTCAGGATAATATTTGACCTGTTGAACAGTACAGCAAGATCATGCAGAACATGCTGACTGAACAGCATAATGCATGTCAGCCAACCTGTTGAACTGACAAACATGATGATGTTGGTCCTAATAAACAAGCAAGTAAGATGGTATTGGTTCTTTTTGAACCTTTTACTAAGCAGACAATCAGGATCAGAACAGATGCTTAACTGTTTCTCATGGTCATGTCAAATCTGTTCAACAGGTTATAAGAATCATGTTAGGCCTGTTTAATAGTACAACAATATCCTGTCAGATCTGTTACACATGTTATATGGATAAACATGTTCAGACAGACAACTGACAGAATGTATGAAAAATAATGATAATGATGGAACTGTTGAATATTTAGATAATGTAAGACCTTTGAACAGGCAATATAAGTACATAACAAATTTATGAATTGGCAATGGCACAGGATAATTAAGGACCTTGCCAACACTTCCAACAGGTAAATAAGAATATGCAAGTTATGTGGATTGATAAGCAAAATCAAAGCACGTTTTTAAAAGGCCACACAGAATTTGGTTCCTTAAACTGATGTTCGCGTTGAACAAAAAAACAGAACAAGGTCACATCAAGGCCAGGTAAACTGAATCTTGTCAAATTTGTGAATAAAAAAACTCATCAGATTGGTATCATTTGTATGTCAGACATGCGTTTCGTCTACAGAAGACAAATTAGTGACGTGACGCAAAAATAAAAAAAATAAAAAGCCAAAATAAAGTTTTAACTTGAAGAGTATTGAAGACCCAAAATTAAGCAAGTAGTTCCATTTGACCTGTGAACAGGTAAGCAAGATCATATGAAGCCACTTTACCAGTTAAGCAAGTCAATCTGCACTGTAATAGAAACATGTGGTACTAATTGTCTGTATTACATAACAGCATATTAATTATATTACTTATTACTACTGATTATTGGTGCAGAGTACCATTAACAAATGTTTGATTCCAAACTATTTTTTTACCTATAAAAATAGTTTCCATGGCAACTGTGCATATAAATTTTTGCAAAAAAATTAAACAGCATGTCTTTGATATCACATAAAACTTCAAGCTAACTGATTTTGATACTAGTGCCAATTTTGTGGAATCTTAATTATTTAAGATGAAGACTGGTATAGATAAGATTTTGTAGACTCTGTAAGGTGTGCAAGGAAATGGCTTTTATCTTAAAGAGAGGTCAGTTGTTTTAAGTTATTTGATTTTGTTGAAGTTTTTCATAGACTGGTAAATTAAGATTTTATTGATATATTTTTGACGTCAGTTGTAACTAGATAGATGTATATTATTGACTTGCATGTATTGCTATTTAATTTCTAATTTATCCATTCATCTATATGACTTATAAGAAAACATCTTGATTTAATAGCTCATGCTTGTATGCAGTTATAAAATTTTCCTTTCTTGCATAAATACATATATTACTTTTCAATGACAATTTTCTTTTTTTGTGAAATTTTGAGGTTAACCCTGATTGGATCACTGCATCTTGGGAACCATAAGGGTTCTTCAGATTTTTTGAATATTTCAGAAAGAAATTTTTGATAGAGACAGAAAACAGTGATACAATGTATTTGCAGTCCTAATCATAGGTGGATCCGGGGGGGGGGGGGGGGGGGGGGGGGGGGGGGGGGGGGCCCTGTTTTGTGGGAAAAATTTGGTTGATTATATAGGGAATCACTGGAGCGGGCCCCCCTCTTAGGGCAGTCAGTGGGCCCCCCTTATGAAAATTTCTGGATCTGCCACTGCTAATGTAAGGACAATAGGCATAGAATTGATTTTTATACATATTTATGTCTAAAGTGATATCCTGTATGAATATTAGTCAAATTGTTTCTCCTCTATCAGTGGTTGTAAGCCACACTTTAAACACAACCAATAAATTGATTTTCTAGCCATAAACATTTCCCCCAGATTTTAAATTTGTAACTTTTATATAAAGCTGTTCAACGGTTCATGCATTTCTGCAACACTATATTTTAACAGTTTTGCAGAAGATTTTTCTTAAAAGATATTGGCAACAATTCATGCATTGTAAACTACTGTAAATTCAGACATTTCTGCAATGTTTTTATTATTGGGAAATTACATCAGGATAGGTATTGCTGAATAATAATCTTGCATTTTCAATTTTGATAGTATTATTTGTATCCAAAATTTGGTGAAATCGCAATAATTTATCTCACATTTTTGTCCATTGTTTAACAATTAATAGCAATGAAAAGTGCACCCAAAAAATTCTGAATTTACAGTTTATATTTATTTTGAACCGGGTTTTTCTGAAGCAAAAATCCTGTTATTAAAATGATAAAGTATGACGGGCGGCTGTCGACAGTTTCCATCCAATAACTTATGATCCATTCAACCAATGCTCTCAAATATATGTTGATACTGATGACAAATTGGAGGTCAAGTTTGATATTGACAATTTTCACTTTTACCAATGAGGAGTTATGGTCCTTGATATATTGGAAAATGGCACTCTTTGTCGTTTCCGTGCAATAACTTATGAACCCTTCTGTCAATGGTTTCAAATTTTAATATGCTGGTTCTGATGAAAAAATGGAGGTCAAGTTTGATATTGACAATTTTCACTTTTACCAATGAGGAGTTATGGTCCTTGATCTATTGGAAAATGGCTGTTTATGTCGTTTCCGTTCAATTACTTATAAATCACACAACCATTGCTTTTTAACTTTTAAGATATTGTTATTAATGACAAAGTGGAGGTCAAATTCAATATTGATGATTTTCACTTTTACCGTTCAGGAGTTATGTTTCTTAATAGATTGGAAAATGGCACATTATGCGGTTTCCATGCAATAACTTTCAACCAATACTCTTAAAATTTTAAATTGCTGTTAATGATGACAAAATAATGGTCAAGTTCGATATTGATGATTTTCATTTTTGCCATTCAGAAATTATGGTTCTTAATAGATTAGAAAAATGGTATGGAATGTGGCAGTCTTAAAATGCCGTTCAAAATACAGAAAAACCATTGTTTGGTGTCAATATGACTGCTCATTCCTTGTTTTTGTTTAAAACAAGTATATTTTCAGTTGTTAATTTCTTGTAAATAATCACATCACATGTATGTGTGATTAGAATCAGTAATTCTGATTGGCTGACAACAATCATGAGGCACACCAGTATCAAATTTTATTTCCGTATAAAATACAGCAGCTATGAATGCACATGCTATCTGTGGCACAATGTTAAAACAATGCATAGATAAACAAACGAAAAGCTTGATGTAACTCTTAAATTCATGCTTGTAGCGTATAAATGTAATTACAAGAATTGAATGCTTCTTTCTATAACTTTATAGGGTTGTAAAAGCATTGATCGTGCACATGTGCTTCGGTCAACACTTTTACATCCAAATAAAATTATAAAAAGTAGCATTATATTCTTAAATAATGTCAAATTTAGAACAATTGATAACTTTTATTTTAGTGAGGAGTATGAAAGAAGGGAAGGATAAAAATCATCAACACAATAATTCCATGCCAATGTCTACACCTGAGAAAGCACTTAAACAAGCTCAAGATCTTCTGTATGCCATGGCAGCCAAAACTCCAGTATGTATAGATTAAAAAATTTGATAAAACATATAAAAATATTGTTTAAGAGCACCCAACCGTTTGGTAGGAGGAATCAGATTTTCTCCTAGTTTTAAATTTATTTATTCCTACCTTTATGCTTTGAGGGGTGGTAAGTGGGGGTGTAATCCTGATTTCACGGAAAAAAAATAAAGAACTCTTTCCCAGATCCCCCAAAATTAATCATTAATTCCCGAGTCCTGATAGGTGTAAATCCTGAATTCCAACTAAAATAAAGGCCCAATCCTGACCTCCCGAAAAAGATCCTTCCAACTTTCTGCTTTCATTCTGAAAAAATAAATATTTGTTTACATTTGGTTAATGATGTCAGTGACCTTACTTAGGTTGTTGACAGGTTAGACTCGTGTTAGATTAATGTTGTTGACAGGTTAGACTTGTGTTAGACAACACTAATTTGAATGATAGTCAGAATGATCAAGTCCCATTTTGCATGGCTATACTTCATCTGTCTATATGGGTTTCAAATTAAAAGAGATTATTTTCATTAAAGATTATTTTTTATATATTTAATATGATTGAGCATTCTTTAATTAGGATATTTCAATGGAATAAAACCTTTTAGCAGGAATCAGATCAATATATATTGTATATCAATGATATATGCAATTTTTGCAGTCTTGTATCCCATTGACCTTGACCAAAGGGAAAGACTTAAGGCCTGAAGTATTTCCTACCCAAAGTAAACAATGTATTGTTAAAATATATTTTAGTCTAATTGTTTTCCAGCCTTTATTAGAAAACTAAATAATGCCATTATAGTAAATATATTTGTACAAATATTTGATGAACAAAGATTGACGATTCTACCATGTTCTACACAGAAGTTTGTATAACAATTTTTTGCAGGAGTTCTTTGTCCAATTTAGGCTTATTGTAGCATCATGACACCTTGTAAATGCAACACACTCTAAAAGATTGTCATAGCTAACCATACAGCATCCCCATTTTAATATGTCAATTTTTGTGAGAGTAATTTGACTTAGACTATTTTTGGCCTACTGTAGCATAATTATACCTTTTGATTGCTACTTCTCTATGGCCTTTTACTCAAAAGGTTGTACTTAGCTGTATTGTTTGGGGTTATTATGCCTGCCTACAATTATGATGGGTATTATATTTTCTGGTCTGTGTGTCCATCCACAGTGCTGTATTTGGTTGACGTTATTGTCTCATCAACTTGAAACTTAGTAACAAATTCATTATAATATGAACTTTGTAATAAAATGTGGATTCATTTTTTTTTTGTGGGTACCAATTTTCAGGGATTTAGAAAAACTTGCATTTTCAAGCATATTTGATTTCGTGGTTTTGCCAAATTATGCATACACGCCTTTAATTTCATGGTTCGCCTTTACCCGCGAAATCCACAAAAAATTGGTACCCCATAAATAATAATTAATCTACAGTATATTCCAAATTAGGATTTTGACCCAGATTTAATAGACTGAACAAGGAAATATGAAATTTTAAGCAGTGCATGGCTATATTTGTTTTTACTTGACCTAGCTGAAGAATGATCATAACTTAATGTCATTCATCAAATAATGTATTTTTAATTTATATTGCATACTACTCATATTCCACCCAACAATATAATGGTTTTAATACTATCCCATCATGTGACAGCCGATTTATCGAACTGTGATCATCAGCCTAACAACCTATGTATGATCTAATTTACCTATTGTACCAGTTATTATATTAGCAGGAAATGTGTACATTACAGGCTGTTTATAAAGGCTTTTTAGTAGTTAGACATAATGTCTAGGGATGCTGTGATGTTAAAATTTATTATCAAGCTAACAAAACATGAAAGAGGGTGGCAATATTGACACAAGTCTCTAATATAAACATTACAAGCATATTAACTATATTAACTGCATGATTATGAGAATTGTCAGCGGTAATGATATCAGTTTAATATTAGCATTATTTGTTGATTGGGTTTAGTAACTCAGTCACATCATTTTTACACTAAGTGGGTTTTTCTGGGGAAAAATACGTTATTAAATTGGTGTAGTACGGCAGGCAGGTGATGGGTGATGAGCAGGCAGCTGTCAACAGTTTCCATGCAATAACTTATGAAACATTCAACCAATGCTTTACAAATTTTAATATGTTGATACTAATTATGAAATGGAGGTCAAGTTGGATATTGACCATTTTCACTCTAACCGTTCAGGAGTTATGTTACTTGATATTATTGGCAAATGGCACTTTATGTCATTTCCTTTCAATAACTTATCAACCCATCTACCAATGGTTTTCAAATTATATTATGTTGTGGCTGATGACAAAATGTAGGTCAAGTTCAATATTGAAAATTTTCACTTGTACCATTCAGGAGTAATGGTCAATGATCTATTGGAAAATGGCACTTTATGTTGTTTCCATGCAATAAATAATGCACCACTTGATCAATACTTATAAAATTTTAGTTAACTGTTACTGATGACAAAATTGAGGTCAAGATCAATATTGATGATTTTCACTTTTGCTCTATTGGAGTTATGGATCTTGATAGACTGAAAAATGGCACTTAATGTCGTTTCCATAAAATTACTTATGAACTGTTCAACCAATGCTCTATAGATTTTAAAATGCTGTTACTGATAACAAAAGGTGGTCAAATTTGAAATTGGCGATTTTCATTTTTGCCGTTCAGCAGTTATGGTCCTTGATAGAATTGAAATTTGAACTTAATGTCATTTCGTTGCAATTACTTAGGAACTGATCAGCCAATACTCTTTAAAATTTTAATATGCTGTTACTGTTGACAAAATGGTGGTCAAGTTTGGAAATGACAATTTTTTTTCATGTTCAGGAGTTATGGTTCTTGATAGATTGGGAAATAGGCATAGAATGTTTAATATAAAAATTATGAAATATACTATAATGTGAAATTATAATATAAAACCTCTATGGGTATAAAATACTTACATTGAGCTTAAGTATTTTTCACAGAAATAGAATTAAGGTACTTTCATTTGTTGCCAGACAGACATTGTTTGCATGTAAGTCAATCAATGCTGTGTCATTTCTTTCACTTAATAAATAGAATCAGGATCTGAATAATAACAAGAATTTTTAAGGACATTTCCTGACTGTCAATAGTAAATTATCTATCCTTGTTGTAAGTGAGGAGCATGAACACCTGTGACCATACAGTTTAAATTTTGGCTACATTGCCTTTAACAATACTTTTTACAGTAATTGGTCTGTGATGTGTTGAATAATTATTATACTTTTCACTGCTGACTCCACCAAAAATGTCTGAAACTTTGTCTGGGGCAATATAATTACTGAACACAGTTTTTATCTCTTATATATTTGAAATAAAACTATTTGTAAACCAAAAAGAAATAATTTCTTATCAAATTTTAATTATTGTTTGAAGTTAATTGATTTAGTCTTGATCTTAATTACATCAAAAGATAGAGTTCATGGAAACTGTTGATAATGCTGTAATGATTGGTCTTTATTCCAGTTTTTGCCCTTAAATGGTGATTTTTATCATGTTTTTGCCTATTATCTTTAAAACTATAAAACTATAATAGAAAGATATGTAGAAACTTTAAAAAGCAAAAATGATCAGCAGGACAAGATCTACATATACTTCAACATGACTGAAATTGTCACTTAAACTTTATGAAGTTTTTGCCCTTTAATGACAGCTTCGCTAGCCAAGGACTATGATCAGTCCCCTCCTCTCGTAACCCTTGGCTAGCGAAGAAGTTTAATGTATAGCATATTATGTAAGGTATTTGGTACCTGTTAAGTTTTGTTTTGAAAGTAACATAAGCATGAAGGGCTCATAACATTTCAAACATTTTTGTTGATGTCAGTTCTTTTACTAATAAAGGTAGAAGGGAATGTTTGATTAAATGTATATTAAAGATTGTTTTTTTCTTTACTGCAGGGAAAAGATTCTTCTCATTATGTAGAAGAACCAGAATCTCAGATTCCACTGACTACACATCACCATATTCAATTACTGAGAGCACAGTTAGAGATGCAACAACACCAAACACAGCTTGCTATTGCACAGGTCCATTTGTTAAAAGATCAACTAGCAGCAGAGTCAGCTGCTAGAATTGAAGCCCAGGTAAAGTACAACATTGCTGTGATATATTAATATATAAGTATGTGTGTTCATTATCATACTAATGATGTGAGGTAAAAGCAGGTCCTTTGTATATCATCTTTTCATTGGTCAAAATTTAAATATGACATAAAATTTTCTGGCATTTCCTTTGGATTTGCTACTGTGACGTCACGAAAGAAAGGTGTGCCTGATGACATCACATATAAAAACACATCTTTTTGCAGATCATTGAAAAAGAAAGATAGAGTGTGTCTACATATAGTCTTAAAATCATTAGAGAAACAGATTCCATCTCAGAATCTCGTGCAATCAATATTTCTCCACTCTCGACAGTTAAATTTTAGATATTTAATAAAATGCTTCGCCGAGCGCAGTCTGATACGACCGCAGAGGTTGAACCCTGAAAAGTTGGGGCAAGTTTGGACACAATATTCAAGCTTGATACTGTCTGAATTTGGTTTGTGATCAAATTTTTGACATAATATAGGTTTCTGACACAAAATAAATGTGGTCAAAGATCTTAAAAATTTAAAATGGGACATTTAATTTACCTTGTATGGTCTGATATCCAAAATCTAACAACATATTCAACATACACCAAAAATTTTATTTTAGTTGAAATCAAACAAAGTTTAATTTTGGACCCTTCAAACCTTAATATGGACTAATATGGACTCATTTGAAAACAGGGCCCAAACTAAAAAATCTAAATGCACAATAAGATTCAATTGAAGATTTCTTGCTATTGCGCATTACTGTGCTGTTGCACAATACTAAGTTAATCTGTTATATAATAGTTTGGTGTGTATCTCCTGCCATATCAGTATTTGTTGCTTATATACATAGATCAGAAATAATCAATGTAAAAATGGAAAATATTTAGGAAAAAAAACAAAAAAATTATGAGAAAAAAAAAAATCCCCCTAAAAATATTTTTTTGAAAAAAAGTATGAACCCCCCCCCCCCCCCCCCCAAAAAAAAAAAACTCAATCTCAGCCTTCCCTTTGTGGTATGGAACCTTGTAGTACAATTTCAGAGAGATTCATACACTTAAACACAAGTTATTGTCTGGAAACTAGAAAAATGCTTGTTTTTGACCCCTTTTTTGCCCCTTATTCCTAAACTGTTGGTACCATATACCCCAAAATCAATCCCAACCTTCCTTTTATGGTATTGAACTTCTGGTAAAATTTCATAGAGATCCATTCACTTAAACTAAAGTTATTGTCCGGAACCAAATGTGTCTTCGGACCACTCTGACGACATGATAGCATTATACGAATGCAAAAATTTTTTTGTGGTTGTATAAAAAGCTTGGCAAGCCTCACATTTCAAATATGAAAATTTGATTGTCTCTACTCTTGTGGAGAAATATTGTATCACACTGAATGAAGTGGTATATAATCAATATTCAACATATAAAGGAAAGACTTATACAAAATTACAAATGTAAGTTTCTGTAGTTCTGCTAGTATTTAAACAAAAAAAATTCAGCAAAAGAAGGAGCGTTGTTAAAATTACACAATATTCCTATTAAACTAAGTGCATAAGACAATTTAACTCACATGTGGATTAATTTAAATTTACGATTGTATCTGTGACAGGATAAACATGTACTTTTCATAAATGCTATTTTAGTGTAGAAGGTAACAAAGAATATAATGTTCCTTGTGAATAAAGTCTGTAGATATCCTACATGTTATATGTATATCTTGTTTGAACTGCTTATTTTTTTTATTTTAACACCAAGTAAATTATTGGAAAAAAAGATAAAATTTGTTACAACTTTTAAGTCTGTTTCCTAAGTTAATAATGTGATCTTTGGTTTGTTTTATTTTGAATCAATTCCCCACTGTGATCTATGGGTTTAATATATTTCAACATGATTTTTACATGAGATGAATTCCATGAAGATTATTAAAAAATTAGTAGGATCAGATACTGTAAAAGTAATTACAGAATAACATTAAGATTAATTATTCAAGTTAAATAATATATTTTTTAGGCACGCTCTCATCAACTTTTAGTACACAACCGAGATTTGTTGGAACACATGGCACAGTTGGTAACTAGAATACAAGAGTTAGAGGTCAAGGTAAATGGAGTCTCAACATCAACTGAGAACTTGTTGCCTCCTTTTTCACAGCTGCAGGTAAATTTATATTTAGTAAGGCATAATCATGGTGCAGAATTGTCATTAGTTAGATAAACACAACATAAATCACAAAAAATGAACCTTTGAAGGAGCCACAAATACAAAAATTATTGAATTTATGGCTGAATGAAGTACATGTTAAGCTTCCAAAATATAAAGAGTGGCAAAAACAGTTTAAAGACCTCCTAAATTTAAAACTTTTATCAGTTTATTTATTTTTAGAAATTTTTAGTCATGCCAACTGAAATCCCTGCAAGTTTTGAAATACCACTAATCATTAACTATAGATTTTTAAAGAGCATACTTTTATCTTTTTAGCTCAACTAGGCCAAAGGGCCAGTGAGAGCTTTTGGCTATCACTTGTCGCCTCTCATCCATCATCTGTTAAATTTTACAATAATCTTCTCCTCTGAATCTATTGGGCCTAATAAAACCAAACTTCGCCATAATTATCCTTTGGATATCTAGTTTTAAGAAATGAGTCCAGTGATTCAACCTGCCAACCAACATGGCTGTTAAGGTTTAAAATATAACATAAGGATAAAATGGATGTAGTGTCTATTAATTTGTAAACAGCTATAGAAAGAGAAAATCTGATTGGTGAAAAATGTTCAGAATGATGAAATCTACCTACAGTCCATTAAGTCCAAAACTGTCAGACGACTCCTTATAGGAGTAATTGCCTATGAGGTTTTTTATCATTATTTTTGAGCTTTTCTCATCACTTGGCGTCAGGCGTCGTCGTTAACTTTTTACATTTTGAACTTCTTCTAGAGAACCACTGAATTGAATGAAACCAAACATGGCATGAATTTTCCTTATGAGGAGCTGATCAAGTGTTGTTACTTTGTAGCGGATCCATCATCCAAGATGGCTGCCAGCGGGGGACTTAGTTTAACATAGGACCCTATGGGAAATACATACAAATGTCTTCTTTTAGAGAACCACTGAATGGAATGAAACCAAACATGGCATGAATGTTCCTTATGAGGTGCTGACCAAGTGTTGTTACTTTGAAGCTGATCCATCATCCAAGATGGCCGCCAGGGGGGGACTTAGTTTAACATAGGAGCCTACGGGAAATACATACAAATGTCTTCTTTTAGAGAATCACTGAATGGAATGAAACCAAACATGGCATGAATGTTCCTTATGAGGTGCTGACCAAGTGTTGTTACTATGAAGCCGATCCATAATCTAAGATGGCCGCCAGCGGAGGACTTAGTTTAACATAGGACCCTATGAGAAATACATAAAATGTTTTCATTTAGAGAACCATTGAATGGAATGAAACCAAACATGGCATGCATGTTCCTTTTGAGCTGCTGACCAAGTGGTGTTACTTTGAAGCTGATCCTTCATCCATGATGGCAGCCAGATGGGGACAATGTTTAACAAAGGACCCTATGGACAATACATACAAATGTTTTCTTTTAGAGAACCACATACTGAATGGATTGAAACCAAACATAGCATGAATGTTCCTTATGAGGTGCTGACTAAGTTTTGTTACTTTGAAGCTGATCCTTCATCCATGATGGCCGCCAATGGGGGGACTTCCTTTAACATAAGACCCTATGGGAAATACATACAAATGCTTCTTCAAGAGGTGCACTGAATGGAATGAAACCAAAACATGGCATAAATGTTTCTCATGAGGTGCTGATGAAGTGTTGCTACTTTGTTGTCGATTTACTGTTCAAGATGGCCACCAGGATTTTTTTATTAAATTACAGGACCAATATTAAACCAAATTTGGCCTCACTCATTATTAGGGTATCTGTTATGATTTTAATCTATTTTTACATGATTTCCAAAACCAAAGTAGAATCAGGTGAGCGACACAGGCTCTTGAGAGCCTCTAGTTCTGTTTTGCCTTTTATCTTGAAAACTATAAAAAGACAGAGAGAAATTTTAAATAGCAAATAAAGGATCATGGCTGAAATCATAAATGTGTTTTGGCATTACCTAATGTTTACATGCCTTTATTTCTATTTAGTTTATAGAATCTCATTAATCATTTGCCAAAATAGTATCTTCACAGAATATCAATGAAAAAAATGAAAATTTATTATACCCCACGCAACGATGTTTTTGACCCGTCCGTCCGTCTGTCCGTCCGTTCATGAAACTTCGTAGATAATAAGGACATACTATGTAGATGTGCATATCGACAGGGAATTATGATTCAATTTTTTTTCTAGGAGTTATGTCCCTTTGAACTTATTGGCCTCAATATACTACTGCAACAGTTTGTCATCGCAACTCCTCTGAAACCACACAACAGAATTTAATGAAACTTTGTAGATAATAAGGACATACTATGTAGATGTGCATATCGACAGGGAATTATGATTCAATTTTTTTTCTAGGAGTTATGTCCCTTTGAACTTATTGGCCTCAATATACTACTGCAACAGTTTGTCATCGCAACTCCTCTGAAACCACACAACAGAATTTAATGAAACTTTGTAGATAATAAGGACATACTATGTAGATGTGCATATCGACAGGAAATTATGATTCAATTTTTTTTCTAGGAGTTATGCCCCTTTGAACTTATTGGCCTCAATATACTACTGCAACAGATTGTCATCGCAACTCCTCTGAAACCACACTACAAAATTTCATGAAACTTTGTAGATAATAAGGACATACTATGTAGATGTGCATATCGACAGGAAATTATGATTCAATTTTTTTTCTAGGAGTTATGCCCCTTTGAACTTATTGGCCTCAATATACTACTGCAACAGATTGTCATCGCAACTCCTCTGAAACCACACTACAAAATTTCATGAAACTTTGTAGTTAATGAGGACATAATATGTAAATGTGCATATCCACAAGAAAATTTTTATCAGTTGACTTTTGTAGAGTTATGAGTCTTTGAACTTAGGAATCTGGTGAGATTTTGTTTGTCCAGTGACAATGTGGGGGTGTGGGGTATGTGAGCGTGCTCACAAAGGTTCTTTAATTGTGAAACCTAAAGGCTTCAGTTCAAATATATTTTGTCTGTGTTTAAATTCCCCGTTTACTATATTTTGATATAGTCAGGAGTGAAATCAGCATGTTAGACAGTTTCTGGAGGTTTGGCAAACTTAAGGTACTGTTGTAGTAGTTATTTTGTAAAATAACCAGGTATTTTTTCATACTCTTACCAAACTATTAGGTTTCCTATTTAGATTTTAATCAAAAGAAATGTAGTGTATACATCAGTTAGCAATCCAACAATACAAACAAATCAGAATATATAAGTAGACCAACTCTCAACAACAGACAAGTGTCGTTAGTTTGAAATTAACCTGAGATAATCTAGAAAAATTGTGAATAAATTTAACAGAATCCATTTCAGATATGATAATAAAAACAAATTAACTTAAAAGGTTATTGACTATATACATAAGGGGTTAAATTAATTTTTGTGAGCACTCAACATTTAAAGCATCAAATAATGAAATAACAAGTTCTGCATTTATTAAAGATGGTGTATCACATTTAGATTCTCAAAGTATTCTATAATTTAGTTGACATTATACACTTTCTTTGACAAAGGAAATCATTTTTCTTTTGGAAATAACTTAAGATTATCATGCACCACTCATAGATAAAGGGGGCCTTGGTGGCTGAAGGGTCTAAGTAGGGGAACTACCTGTATCACTAGCCAGTCAATACTGAGGTTTTGAGTTTGAATCCCACGCGTGGCAGGTGTGCTCCACTCCAATCTTTATTGACTAGGATTGTCAGTTTTCCTATCAAAGATCTGTGGTTCTCTCCAGGCACTCCCCTTTCCTCCACCAAAAAAACCTGACAGGCACGAAATAGAACAATAGTGCTGAAAGTGGTGTTCAATCAATCATAAATACATAAACAGAAGATATTTCACAAAGCCTTGTGAAAAAATTTCAAACAATTCGCATGGTCAAAATAGTGCTGAATGTTGTATTAAACACCAATCAATCACAAATAAATAAATAAATAAAGGATTTTTCACAAAGCCTTGTGAAAAAATTTCACACAATTTGCATGGTCAAAAGTAGAGGGATACAATGTACCCAAAAAGTTATAGTTGCTTGCATAACTGAGAGTAACTTTGAGAAGCTTAAAGATCACCATTGTAATGTACCATCATTTTTCATCTTCCTAAAATGATTGTTACAAATTTCTGAATTTTTGGTGCAACTTCCATGCAACTGTTTTTATTGTGTTATTGTGATTTAACGTCAGACATATTATATATAAGAGTTCTCACTTCAAGGTGTCATTTAATTCTGACCATTGTATTTGCAGGTATCTTGGTTTCCCACAACTCCACAGTCTGGGGCTGTTTATACTCCTGATTGCCAGGATTTTGAGTTTGACAATTCTTTCGTAACAAATTCTCCAGTAGGTTACTCAAAAAACAAAATTGAGGACACAGATTCACCAGACAGTGGCCATAAGGAAATGTCATCAGAAAATTTATCTTTACACACACATCAAGGCATTGATCCTATGTACTGGCCTGGTATTTTGAGAGGACAAATTTCTGTCAGCTCCCCTGAAGCAATGTTAACACAAAATCATTTTGCTGGAATAGCATCCATTACAGGCAATCCATTTGCTAATGGTTTTGAAGACAGTTTTAATCAAAACACAATTTTACGATGTTCATATGAAGAAAGAATGAAAATCATAACTCCACTTCCTCCTCAAGATGCAAGTGGTAATAAGCTAGAGTTAAAACTCAGTAAAACACCCAAGATAGACCCACCTCCAGAATTTCGTAATTCCAGATCATTTCGTGACTCACAAATTTCAGCCCAGAGTACAGATAGTGCTTCATCTCAAGATACATGTCCACTTATGAAATCAGACAGTGATTATTATTCAAATACAACAGGAAGTGGTCATTCACATGTAAACAATAATGACAATCATGTCGTCATGTTACATAATATGAATGAAAACCTGGCTGCAACCTCATCAACAGCCCAGGAACTTTTTCCAGAAACAGGGTTTTCAAATCTGAGTGACTGTGTAACTATAAATGGACCCCAGATATCAGCAACTGTTCCCTCAGAAACATATGGAAATCAAACATCAAATGTATATCAAAATTCTATGTGTGAAACAAGACAAATCTCAGATACTCAGTTTCTTGATAAATATAAACAAACAAGTTCAACACTAGACTCCATACAGAAGTTAGAACTTCAGTTAAATCGCATGAATCTGGACCAAAAGTCAGCATCTGATTATTGTTTAAGGACTTTGAACAATGGATCAAAAGAGAGTGGTGTCACGAAAGATGGTTCCTTTCGTGTGAAGACTATTCCTCCTCCACCCCCACCTCGACGGACAGAAAGTCTCACTTCTGATAATGGAAGCTAGTGTTTTTATATTTGTTGTTTCTTTGTTTGTAAGACTGAAAAAATGAAGAGTTTTGTTAAGAAAACAAGTTTATTTGTTATAGTGTAAAGTGCATTCAGTAGTAATATTTGTGTATTTATTCATGTATCAAGAAGTTAAGTAAGTGTGATATAAAGAAAATATATATCACTCTCCCAAAAATGAAAAAAAGAGAATATCAGTGTGATGTACTCTATCACAGATTTGTATGAATAAAACAATCCATTCATTTTTGATAGGCAATTGATTTAAAATATAAAATACAAGACGTTTTTAGATTATTAACATAAATTATATTGTAGATGAGGCATTAAGTTTTGATGAACATGAATAGATGCTTGTAATTAAAAAAAAAATTGTAAGTCTTTGTGACCAACACAATTACTTAGATATTAATGGATAAAGGAAGGTAACCCTGGCTGTCAGTTAACTGATCAATGTTGAAGTCTTTCGGTCTTGTGTTCTCAAATTTGACTGTGTCAATCAGATTTCATTGGATATTCTTTTTTTTTTTACATGATTATAAACAGAGAAGGAGATTTTGAGCAATCGATAATTTTTATTTGTTATAACTGCATACATTTTTTTAATGTATTGCTGGTCATGACACATATAATTGTAAAGTCAGAAATAATACATAAGTTATAAGATCCTTGTGATGAATCAAAATTTAATTCTTATCTATTTTACAACTTAAATTTAAAGTTTTTTTCATGGAGAATGTTCAAATATCACACTTAAAATCATTAACATTTTATTATAACTCAACTATCTATGGTGTTTACAAGACTTTACATATTTGTTTAGGGGCCAGCTGAAGGACGCCTCCGGGTGCGGGAGTTTCTCGCTGCATTGAAGACCCATTGGTGGCCTTCGGCTGTTGTCTGCTCTATGGTCGGGTTGTTGTCTCTTTGACACATTCCCCATTTCCATTCTCAATTTTATTTAGTGTAATTTTACCTAAAGGTATTAAAAACATTTTTAGGAAAAATAATCAAAATATTACCATTTTACCAAATATTGTCACCATATTAGATGTAAAGAAAATTTGATGTATGTGATCATATCTTAGAATCACATACAATAAGTGTCATTAAATATACTTGATTTTATGGTCAATTTACCACTTTAGTGCAATAATCTATTAAGTTTCTTTTACTTGTTACTTACATGATATGATGTATGAATTAATGTTCAGTGCCAATCTATCATTCATATTGTGTCTTACGATATTATATACACCCTGCTTGATTGCACATTGATCTACTTTGAATCTCATGAAAATCAAAATGGCATTTGTTTGTACTTAAATTTATTTTGTATTTTACCATGTTTACAGATGAAATTAAAGTAATACTCAGTGCTTTTTGTGTGTTTGTTTTAAAGTCCCAGTTATTTGTCATAATGACTGAATATTAGCCAGAAGTGTTCACATTTCATGTATTTTTTCAACAACTATTTTTTATAACTTTTTATTTGCATGTTTTTCATTTACCAAATATAAATATTATATATTGCTTTAACACGAATTTGAAATGAATGAAATCTCCAAAAACCAACTCTTTACACAAGTTGTTTCCCTTTGCTAAATGTAAACTGGTTATTAGCCCTAAAAATTGGGCTGCTGCCCATGCAAGGCATGCAAAGTTAAACATGATATATAGGTGTTTACCCAATTTTTACAGAATAATAACTATTGATTCCAAACGTTTTAAGCTGAACAAAGATAAATTGTAGTTACAAACAGATATATTTGCTCTTTCTGCTTGCTCTTCATTTGCAATGAAAAGTTATGTACCTCCTAAGGGAAACAACTTTTGCAAATGGCTCTTATAAGAGGGTCAGTTATGGAATTGGCAAATAGACTGTTGACAAGAAATGACCCAAATTACCAAATTTCCCTTTGAAAGATAAAAAGGACATATTGAGCTTCATTGGTCATTTGTGTCTTATTTTCCTTTTTGACAATCATGTTTAGTTTATTGTTTTATTATCAAATCACTATCACCAATTAATTATCAACTGAATGTGTTTAATTTGAATAAGGATTATACCTGAAAAGTTAGCTATCCTTTCTAAAAAATTATGTTTTTCATTGAGAACAGATTAGGTGCATACATTTTGAAAAATTTGGCCTTTATCACAGCTTCTCTTTTTTTACAACAAATAAAAGTAAGTGAATGAAAAAAGTAATCTCACATTTTTGTAACTTCAGTATTGTTTGGTAGACTTTCAAATAATGCAAAAAAAATTAAATTGCTTGAAGTTTGGTGTTTGCCTATGTTATGTTTCTTTTATGCTCCTTTTCTACAGTGGAATAATTTTCATAGCACTCAGACAGTTTCATGTGCACAATATTTCATTTAAGTATTCTGAAACATGATATTGTTATACAATTTCAGATGAACAGTAGAGTTTTTCCACCGAAACCAATGAAATCTGCCTTTTGGTATCATTTTTACATGATTTTGAAGGGATGAAGCATTTACTCTCATGCTTTTGATTTTTTATGGACATGTAAATTTAGACAGTTGGTTTTTTTTCCCATTTTTTTTCATTTGTATATATTGAATTTGTTTTGTAAATTTTAGAGACCAAACAATTGTTTATACATGTTACTTGTTTTTAAGATATTTTGTTATTTGAATTAAATTGAGTTTTCTTTGCTGTGCAAAATTGTTATTAAAATAGCATAGAAGTTTACACTAAGTTTGTACTTCCATTTTATGAGGGTGGTAAAGGGTTATTTTTGTGCAATGTGATAGCCGTTTTTTATTTCACATTCAATATATTTTTACTTATTTATTTGACATTCAGTCGTGCAACGTGTTCTGCTTATTTAATTTTACCATGTAACGTGATTTTCACATGCTTATTATGCGTGCTCAGTATTTTTTAAATAAAATTCACACACTTGGCAGGGATCGTCAAGAAAAAATGGATTCAATTTTGTTTTTTGATAAAGCGGAAAGGCCTTTGAGGTGTAATACCACCAAAATCATAGTACATCACATCCGGTTGCATACGAAAATAGGTCGAAAAAAAATATTCCCTTGAATTTGACAGTTGTAGGTAATTGATCCTACATTTCATTGCAGTAAAACATTTCTGAGTCATAAACATATTTCTTGGGTATTTCAAAGCACCATTATTTCTTTATTTGGGGTTTCTATAGAATATTTTGGAAACTTGAGGTTACATGGTTACTAAAGCTTGTACACAGGTTAAAAAAGGGGGAAAATTTGATTGGTTAACTTCCAGTGATGGTTATTTTCTTATATGCAATGAAATGTTGTGTGAAATTTTTTCTATAGTACTGGACAGGATAAAACTTAACTCATGCCAAGTATTTGTTTATTTGAAACAAAGATAAATTCTGCACAATTTTTTGAAAAGTGCAAATTTAACAAAGACTAATAGGGGAAAATCAATGGTGGTATTACACCTTGATGCTGTTCATTATCTGGATATTTGCATTTTAAAAGTTAATATATACAGGAAGACTGTGAATCAGTCACAAAAGGTTCACAACAAAGTCTTTATTTTTCGTGCAACGTTCATGACAGAAATTATTTCACATTCAACGTGAAACTATGTTTTATTTCAGGTTTTTTTTTGTGCAACCACCCCATTTACCACCCTCTATATCAGGATAACTTGTACACATCATTGCAAAGTATTTTTAAACTGTGATGTTGATAATCAGTACTTTAATCTACTGTAGTCAAATAAAGAAAATCTGACATGTATTTCTTTTTTCAAGATTTTCCTCGATAATATTTACCTGCTGAGAAAGGACAAAAGTATGATAATTCTTTATTTTTTACCTCCTAAAAATGTTTTAAAAAAAAATAAAATTTTCAAGTGAAACTTTCAAAATGATTTATCGGTACAGTATTCCATGATAATGGATGCAAATGCGATAACTTTTAAAGTGTGTCAATTTTTTAGTGTGTTTATTTACAGTATTTCTTTCACTTTAATGCCTCAAAGAGGTTGGATAAATTTCCCCCAATTTCTTATTCACACTAGGACAATTTTCAAATCTTTCAATCTTTTGTAAAATTAAATGATCACAGGCTCACAGCTCTACATGTTTGTGGGTTTTTTTAAGTTGTAATAATCTTATGACTTTTTCTAAACATTTAAACAAATTATCAATGTGAAAAGAATTTAAATTGCAGTTTTGGTAGATTTTAGCAAATTATCTATAATTTAAACATAACTTTTATGTTTTGGTGACCAATGAATCATATTCTCTGGCTCCTACCTCATTTACTTCCTGTAGTTTTTTCTGAATTCCTAGGTCTAGTAATATAATTGTTTGTATAATGTTCTAGTGAAGTCTAAAATAGTCAATATTCTACTACGTGTCCCATGGTCTTGGAAATGTTGTTTTTCTAGTCACTTTCTATTTCAAAAATAAGAAAGACCTAAAAAATATCTGAAAATTTATCCACTGCAATGCAATTTCACACTTTTTCTTCAATAATTATGACGCACAAATTTTTACTCTTTAAATTACATGGTAACTGGGACAAACAGTAGTTGTATTTTGTTTAATGTCACTAATGATTTATTCTTTGTGACAATAATTGAAAAGAATATTAAAAGAATAACTGAATCACAGGTGTATTTATATCATGCCATTAAGGAACAAGAGTGCACACGCTGAAATGTCTCGCCTTCTTTACTAATCATTGATATTATGTTGATAGTCCTAAATATAAAGCTTTATTACAACTGTCACATAAACTTAACATTAACCAAGTAAACTAAACATTGACCAATGAACCATGAAAATGAGGTAAAGGTCAGATGAACCATGCTAGGCAGGCATTTACAGCTAACAATTCTTCCATACAACAAATTTGTTGACCTATTGCTCATAGTTTAAGAAAAACAGACCAAAACACAAAAAATTAACACTGAGCAATGAACCTTGAAAATGAGGTCAAGGTCAAATAAAACCTGTGTGACTGACATATAGATCATGAAATATTTCAATACACCAAATATAGTTGAACTATTGCATATAGTATTAAAAAAAAAGACCAAAACTCAAATACTTAACTTTGACCACTGAACCATGAAAATGAGGTCAAGGTCAGATGACACCTGCCAGCTAGACATGTACACTTTACAATCATTCCATACACCAAATATAGTAGACCTATTGCATACAGTATAAGAAAAACAGACCAAAACACAAAAACTTAACTATAACCACTGAACCATGAAAATGAGGTCAAGGTCAGATGACACCTGCCAGTTGGACATGTACACCTTACAGTCCTTCCATACACCAAATATACTAGACCAATTGCTTATAGTATCTGCGATATGGACTTGACCACCAAAACTTAACCTTGTTCACTGATCCAGGAAATGAGGTCGAGGTCAAGTGAAAACTGTCTGACGGGCATGAGGACCTTGCAAGGTACGCACATACCAAATATAGTTATCCTATTACTTATAATAAGAGAGAATTTAACATTACAAAAAATCTTAACTTTTTTTTCAAGTAGTTACTGAACCATGAAAATGAGGTCAAGGACATTGGACATGTGACTGACGGAAACTTTGTAACATGAGGCATCCATATACAAAGTATGAAGCATCCAGATCTTCCACCTTCTAAAATATCAAGCTTTTAAGAAGTTAGCTAACGCCGCCTCCGCCGCTGGATCACTATCCCTATGTCGAGCTTTCTGCGACAAAAGTCGCAGGCTCGACAATAAAACCACTAATTCATGGCCCATTGCTTTCTATGTTATATTTTGAAATTTAAAGCATTCATAGCTATTTTAAATATAGTGACAGTCATTTCATGTCAAAACTATATCTGATCCTGGCTTGTGCAAAAAAATTGAACACCTTTAATTGCATATTAGAGGGCACTGATTCCCGGAAGTTTGGTAGTACACAAATGGGTACTTCTAATCTGAGTAACAGGGCAAATATGCCGTCCTATTTTAATTTCATATATTTTTTTTATCATTCAAAAGAAATTTTCATAAAGATTTCAGGATCCCAAGTCCTTAAGCTTTCATTTGTTACCAAAGTACCCAAATATTTTACTTATTTACAAAGTTACAGTTATGCATAGGAACTATTCTGTTAGAAATCATGATGTACTATGTTCTTGTATGTTCTTTTTAATAGAGCCCAATTAGTGGTTCTATGCCTTTAGTACCCATTTCTCTTGACAAAACTACAATCAAATCACTCATTTCTGTAATACCTGTAAACTTGATTGATTGACAAAAGAAATTGAAAGACGTATTGATGATTGCTACACCTATCAAGGGAATTGAAAGACATATTACAATAAAAATTATTCACTTTCTGTCCTTTATAAACTTAACAATATCACAGGTTATATCACCCAGGTATTTTTTCTATTGATTTGGTGGAGATTAGATAGTCAGCAACTCTGCAACAAACTCTCAACAACAACAAACGCAGTAAAGACATCTAGAAGTCAACTGTTTATCAAGCTCTAAGGCTAGATGAGATACGCCAGCAACACCAAATTCTATACAAGACCAAAAACACAAAAATTAAATAAAATTTCCTTTTTTATGCTTAGCTTATTAGGGTCGATTGCATGTGATAAATGTATTTATTATTTTTCATGTTAAAACTCCAGTATGTGCTACAGCTAAACATCAAAATGAAAACAAAATCAATTGGAAAAAACAATTCTTAGACAATACTAACAAGCTTTCTGAGAGTATAGCATGGCAATACATAGTTCCCTACCGGTTGAAAATTCATTGTACTGGAACAAAATGCTAACTTGATCTATAACTTGTCATGGTGTAAACTTTATAACAAATATCAAGTCAATATCTTCAATCATGACGAAAAAAAGTGTGGAAAACTGATTATTTAATTTTCTAAGTCCAAGGACCATAACAAAATTCGAACTTGATCTGTAACTTGTCATGATAAAGCTATATACCAATTATCCATTCAATATCTTCAAGCATGACGAAAAAAAGTGAGGAAAAATGATTATTTGAGTGAATTTTCTAAGTCCAAGGACCATAACTCTTCACAATTTAATCATAAGACCAGAACAAAATTCGAACTTGATCTGTAACTTGTCAAGATATAACTATATACCAATCATCATATCAATATCTTCAAGCATGACAAAAACAAGTGCGGAAAATTGATTATTTGAGCGAATTTTCTAAGTTCAAGGACCATAACTCTGCACAAAATCATCAGACTGGAACAAAATTCGAACTTGATCTGTAACTTGTCATAATTAAACAATACACCAAATATCAAATAATATCTTCGAACACGAAAAAAAAAAGTGTGGAAAACTGATTAACCGGACTGACAGATGGACAGACAGACGGACAGAGTGCAAACCTAAAGTCCCCTTCGACTTCGTCGGTAGGGGACTAAAAAGACTACTAGTATGACACAATCAAAAGGACATTTTTATCTTGTAGACATCAGACAACTAAAAATAAAGTCCCATAAACAGTGAGTTGGGAACTTCAGGTGTTCTTGAAGGTTACAAGAGCACAATTATTTTAATGCATTTCCATAGGGTACCAGTGGTGTTCCATATTTTATATCTTGAAGAATACACACATACTACAAAAAAATGGGTAATACTTCCTGTTACTAGAAATGTCCGCATTGTATTACAGCCCAAAAAAACTTCAAATGTATATGGTCAAGTGGCAAAATTTGCCGAAGTGCGGCTGAAAAAAAAAGATCTATTTTTTCCACTGAATGGGTAAGGCATATTTTTAATTGCTCTTTCGTAAATAAATTGAATATATTTTCTACACTTTGAAAATATGAATTTAAGTTTATGATTTTTGTTCAAACCCTAAATGGATAAGCTCGCAATAATCAGTGGCGGATCCAGAGAGGGGCGTAGAGGGCGTACGCCCCCCCTTTGCTTGCACGTTTTTTTTTTGTTTTTTTTTTGTAAAATGATTAATCAGACTAGACTTTGTGAACTTTGCCATTTCCCGTGTATTTAATTTTTATGCGACAATTCTTTACTTATAAAGATATTTTTCGCTCGTATTTTACTGTAATATATTATTGATTATGTCAAAGTCATGTGATTCTCTACGGTGGAGTTGACCAGTTCGTCGAAAAAAACTCAGTCATTTTGAAATTCAAATTACAGTAACACATTGCTTAGGCTGAGGATGACAAGCATGACGCTTTCAAAGCGACAAAGTATTGAGCAAGAACGTATTGACTTCAATTTCACAATTCCACCCAACAGAAAGTTGTACTCTATTACACTCTCATGAAAAAAAAAGTTCCACAGCAATATTATTTACCTACGAAAACATGTTTAACCCCACACGCCCCAGCCCATTAATAATATTGATGAATATTGATCCGCAGTCAGTAAGCTCGAGATATACATTTAAAGTCTAAGGTACGGACCATTTGATCTGAAGGGGCAGTCTGAGATATTTTAGAGAAAAAATTATGACCCTGATTTTTGCCTTAAACAAAAATTCTTGCCGTATCTGGATTGAAAACAATAATCTTGTCCACTTTTTTGCTATTAGAAAAAAATATTTTCAACAGAATTATTTAGCATTAAATGAACATGATGAATAAAAAACGGGCGTAATTTTTTTTTTTTTTTTTTTTGGGGGGGGGGGGGGGGGGGGTTGCATGTGAATCCCATATCTGACCGGAATGTCTGTTTCGCCGAACTTATATACTGAATACTTTTTCAGGCCCGACTGCAACCTGCCTGGGTGTGGCCTATATGTCTCCATGTGTCGACCGTCATTCACAACTTCATTGTCATTTCCGACTCATTCGTAGCCTCTGGTTGATTTGGAACCCCTCACTTCCATTGTTGGGTGAAACATTTCAACCAAACATTTGGATGAAAATTGCTTGTTTGTCTTTCTTCGTGTCGGTCGTATTGTAAATTTCATTGAATAGCCGTATATCTTGTTTACAACAAGAAATCTGTGAGGTTATGCTAACTAACCATACAACAAACGAGAATTTTCCATGTCCATTTTTTACTGACAAATCCCACATCAAATATATTAATTAGTACATAGCTTTGGATCCATCCAATCATTTGAGAGAATACGGCACCAGAAATGTCCAACCCCTACACTTTAAGTATAAAATGCATTTTACACTTATTTTATGTTTTTTAGTGAAAAAAAGGTCCAAAAAATTTTCGCCTCGCTCCGCTCGGCAAACTTTAATACTTCGCCCCCCCCTTTCCAAAATCCTGGATCCGCCCCTGATAATTCCAATCATGTATCATCAAAGCAGGAGTAGCACAAGATTTCATTCTGTATATTATCTTTGGGTAAAAAATTTGCCAGTTAGATATAAATAAATAATTGCGCTCTTGTAAAAAGAAGGATGTGTCATATTACCTAATAGTAATAGTAATGAGCCTAAACCATGAAAACAAGCATGCATACACAAAACTCATTCATGATATACTATGGCATGAGACATTAACTGCTATGGTCAACTGATTTCTTTCTTTGTTTTTTCATGTTCACCATTTTCTATGATTAACTTCACAAATCAGTTGACCATAGTAATTCATTTATGATTTATCTTACCAAAAAGAATAACAATGAA